ATGAGGCACATGTACCTCATTGATTGTTATCTTTGGCACTTGAAGTGCAAAACCACTGGGTGCAAGTTGCTAAACCTGCATGGCAGTGCCAAACTTGAGGATTTGGCAACTTGGATGGCAACCTGTGGTGGAAATGGTCTAATGTAGAAGAATTCCACAAACATTTAGTGTAGTTCAGAGGAATCTTGTGCTAATTCTATGTGCACAGTCCACAAAAAAAGGCCCACTATGCTGTGCTACAGCACATTTTAGTGGGTTTTTTGTCTGTTTTTGCCTTTAAAAGCGCTGTAGTACAATGTAACACATATTGGGACTAACAGAATGCTAACACTGCACTATTTTGAGGGCTGATACACTAATGTGAGTGGGCCGTGTAGCAAAGTTGCCCATTGCTGTCTGAAGAGCCCCATTTAATCAGGTGTTCAAAACTCTAGTCTACAATAGATGCAGAAATTTTCATTGGGTGATTCAAAACAAGTGACAGTGAGTTCTGAAACAGAAAATAAAGTTTAGATTCTAGGTTTCAGAGAAGCTCAATGTTGAAATTTTGGCGGTAAGGCCAAGGAAAAATACGTTTTGAATCTAGCAGAAAGGGCTTAAGTGCTCTCTGCAAAGACTGAAGAAGGGCTGAAGTGCTTCTTTCAGGAATGGTCTAAAAGGAATAAAGAACTGATGTGTGTAATTTCTTAGTATCTAGATGATTTAAGTAGTCTAGATACAATATGGTCAAGATGTGGGAGCAGAATTTTGAATAAAGGAAGAACAGCAATAATGAATAAAAAATATGTAAAAAGAAAATGAGACTGATCAAGTGAATTTTCAACACCCCTCCTGAACTCAAGATCAATCAATGATTATCAAAGGTGAAGGTCAGGATATTTGTGTTGTAGGTATTCTTCATCTTACTGGGTGTATCAAGTCAGATGGAATGCGTGTTGTTTGGACAAGGAAGCAACCAAATTTGGAGCTCGTTTGTTGGGATGTTTTTGGAAACAGTTGTCTTTGGTGTGGCCACTCTTGAAACAGTGGGAACATGCTTGGAATCCTTGCTTGCAATGAGGACAGATGATCTTGGGGTTAGAAGATTGTGTGTACATTGTTGCTTCCAATGGGGTCAGTGATTTCTTGATTTCATGCAACTGGTTTTGAGCAGCAAAGTCTTCTAGCTTCTTCAGAACTTGTTCAAATGGTACAGTTTCAAAGTTCATAGAGATGTTGGTTTTGAATGAGTGAAATTCTTGAGGAAGTTTATCAAGCATCAGTATGATCTTGACTTGATTGTAAAGTGCAAGTTGTGAGAGGGAGATTTTCTGATTGGCCAATTGAACAAGAGGGATAAACGACAAGAACAAGTCGTATTCTATTGCAAGGTATTTCTTGAGGGAAGTGGTTCGAGAAGTGAGATTGTTGCCAGCATACTTTTGTTTCAAGAGTTGCCAAAGCTTGTAACTGTTGAATTTGTTGGTCTTGGGTAAGGTAGAGCTAACATATGCAAGAATCTCCTGATTGTGATGTTGGACAATTTTGGCATAATCATCTTCATTAAGTTTGACATAGAGTTTAGTGTTCTCTTTGTCCATTTCAGGGTCAGGACAGGTATGGATTCTGGTGACAATTGTGAGGGATTTGGCTTTGTGGAGCTTCGCTTTCATGGGTAGTAGCCAGAGAGCATAATTATTGAGTGTCAGGAGAATTTTGGATTCACAAACTATTTTGGTTGCCATTTTTGGTTCAAGCGAGTAGGGAGAGCAGAGAGATTTGGTTTGATTGGGGTGAGGTGGTATTTTGATTCAGGGGAGGCTAATTTGGAAGATTGGAGTCGGATTTCAACTGTTAATTGTGTTGGAATTTTGGCGGTAAGGCCAAGGAAAATACTTTTTGAATGTAGCAGAAAGGGCTGAAGTGCTCTCTGCAAAGACTGAAGAAGGGCTGAAGTGCTTCTTTCAGGAGCGGTCTAAAAGGAATAAAGAACCAATGTGTGTAATTTCTTAGCATCTAGATGATTTAAGTAGTCTAGATACAATATGGTCAAGATGTGGGAGCAGAATTTTGAATAAAGAAAGAACAGCAATAATGGATAAAAAAATATTTAAAAAGAAAATGAGAGTGATCAAGTGAATTTTCAACACTCAATTAAGATATTATGACCATCAGGGAGTTTTCCACTGTCATCTTGAAAAGCAATCAAAGCCTAAAAGTTGTTTTAGAACTGATACATAACAAAAATCCCTTTTCTGCACATATCATACACCTGGTTTTTACAACCTGGAATCACTACATAAGTTGCAGAAAACACTAAGTTTTCTGTGTGTACTACCACAACTCAGGATCCAAGTGGGTTGGGTCAACCCGCCAAGTCACAGGGCGGGCTTGAGCAGGCTAGGGTTGGAAATTGACCAGACCCGGATTCAACCCAACGGGTCGGCGGGGTGGGTATGATCAGGACAGGTTGT